AAACCAACGTATAGGGTTTCTTGAGAATGGATTTATAAATTGGATTGATGTATAGTCCAATGGGCCTGATAATGGTAGTAAGGTCTTAAATGAAGTCGGGCGAAGAAGGATGAGACAGCTGATAAGGAGGTCGGACAAGATGAAGTCGGGCAATGGAGGATGAGATCGCGCGATACGGAGGTCGGACAAAATGAAGTCGCGCGAAGAAGGATGAGACGGCCGATAAAGAGGTCGGACAAGTTAAGGTCGGGCGAAGAAATATGAGACGGTCGATACATGGGTCAGATAAGAGGAAAGTGGGCTTCTAGGGGCCCATTTGAAAGAAAGGTCTGTTAATTGGTCGCTTAATTAAGCGACCTGTTAATCAACTGATTGATTGACCGGTCAGTAGTTCAATCGCTTGAAAGGGTGGTCAGTTGGTCGTTTGATTGGGTGACCAATGAATCGTCTGGACGAAAGGTTGTTCAGCCGATTGAAGGGACTAGATGGTGGTCGCTTGATTGGGCGATCGATGAATCGTCTGGACGAATGGTTGTTCAGCTGTTTGAAGGGACTGAATGGTGGTCGCTCGAGTGGGCAACTGATTAGCCATTTGGTCTAGTGACCAGTTAGCATCTGGATTGGTCAGTTGGTCAATCGTTGGGTTATGCTCGGTAGGTTCAGTCGGTGGATGGTCCAGACGATTTCTCAATCGGATGGTGATTTATGATCCGTCTGAAAAGGCGACTAGGAGGAGATGTGGGCCCGTCGTTAGGCCTATCAGTTGATTAGGGGTTCTCAAGGGAGTCGGTTGGCCTACGGTCCGTCTAAGGACCAGGGGTTATTGTGGGCGGCTTGAGTAGTCGGATGGGCCGGCCGCCCATTTAAGGAGGTAAGGTGTTCAGAGGCGGTTGGTAGAGCCAGTTAAGTCCTGTAATCGGCAGGGGCGGTTGGCAAGACTGTTAATACACGTGTCAATGGAGGAGGAATTGGTGGACGGTTGATACCGGTTGCTGTAACCGACCAGACAACTGTTCAAAATGTTTCTTTAGGGAATATTTAAGGATTTGGGTTGGCAACTGGCAAAGGATCTTCAATCGTCTTCAATCGACGTCAAATTCAGTGAATTTCTTTTGGGGATCACCATTTTACTTTTACAGTCTGTAGTATTTATTTTTCCTATTTTAGTTATGTATCGTACGGTGTCTAGGGATTCTTAAATCTCAGCCATTTTATTTTATCAAATTCGAAGATAATCTCTATCTTCGGATTTTACTTTTTATTGTTGAAAATCGGCATCAACAATTTGGCGACCACAGTGGGAGTCGAAGCAAGATAGCTAATCCTACTTCCAATAACGACTTCATACGTTTGCGTTTTGGGAGGATTATTAGTAGAAATACTATGGTGGGCACTCAATCTCATAACAACACCACCGGTGTCGGAGTTTCTGCAACAAATCCAACCACAGTTTTTCCTACTACAGGAGGAACATCTCACATGCAACTTGAATGGTTGACTTATGTTCAACAATTGAACAATCAGCAGATGATTACCATACAAACAATGCTGCACGATCAACAGAATTTGATGCAGAACATGTTGGATTAGGCGTTGTCCAAAGTCACATTACATTCAAACACGCCTCCAGCCTTGTCACCTTCTCGCTTTCAGGCAACCTTTCCAGGATCAACCTTTGCAGGGCCGTCATATGTTGATAGTACAGTTCCTAGCGCCACAACTCTCAACCGAACAGATAGGGGGAAAACTCTTGTAACATTCCCGAATAATATTCCTTTGGGACCAAAAGTTGATAATACTTAGCCGAATATCGTAAGGGAAGATAGACAAAGGGGACATAGGCATGATCCCATTCATATCCCTGATCATCAACACCCACGTTTGGATCCTGAAGAAATTGCGCATGTTATGAGGGTTCATTTCGGTTTGAATCCTCATGTGGCCAACCGCCCTGCCTATCAAAGACCTTTTCCAGAAAGGATCATTAATGATTATCCGCTCCCAAGGAATTATCGACCACCCAACTTTCATGCTTTCTCAGGAGAAGATGGATCCTCCACCATAGAACATGTGGGTCGTTTTACAGCGCAGTTAGGAGAAGTCGGTAATAACCTTTTTTATAAATTGTAACTATTTGGTTTGTCTCTTACCAGGACAACTTTTTCGTGGTTTGTCAATTTACTACCTGGACAAATAAAAACCTGGGAAGGTTTACATATGTCATTTCATGCTAGATTCTTCAACCCTTTACCAACCGTTTCTCTTACCGATTTGTTGGAAATGAAACAATGTCCAGAAGAGTCAGCCTTGCAGTTTATCGAAAAGGGTACGACTAATGAAGGGTAGTTGCCCGACAATCATTGAGGAGAGCAAGATGACCAATTTGGTGGTCAGAAATATGCATACATGACTGCAGGAGGCTTTAACGGCCCACGACACTCAAGATCTGGCCAGTTTAGCATCTAAGGCGAGGAGGTTAGAATCCCTTTTTAGAGAAAAGGATCACAACTTCCGTCAAATGGCCAGTGTCGATACAGAGATATATGCACTAGACGACGAACAAGGGGAAGGTGCTGAAGAAATGGTGGCTGAAATTGTATACAACAAGCCCTACGTATGTTCCAAATTGAAGCCCCTTCCAGGGGTAGAAGAGCGGGAACAACCGACGTTTGATGCATCCAAAGCAGATGAAATCTTCGATATTCTACTAGCGGATGGGCAAATTCGCATACCGAAGGGGCAACGGTTGGCAACAAAGGATGAGATAAAGGGAAGGCCATACTGCAAGTGGTATAACTCTTTCACTCATTACACAAACCAGTGTACGCACTTCCGAAAGGAAATCCAGAGGGCGATCAAAGCTGGAAGATTCAAATACGTGACGATGGGAGTGGAGCAACAGCCTTTCCCAAAAGTAACTACTGCATCAGTGATCTCTGTGCGTTCTTCACAGAGCCCACAAAAGGATGATGAAGGAGACAACAAACGGAAGGAGCGCAAGCCAAAGCAACAAGAGCTTGACCAGGATGATAAGTTCACAATCTACGAAAATAGGGTGGCTGAGAAGTGGGACAGAAAGGATGGCTCATTCGAAGTGGAGTTAAAGGACAAAATGGTAGTGTGAGATTGACCAACACGCAGGCCACCACCAGTCCGCGATAAATGGAGGTCGGGTCAGAGGCTGACGTGGCCTCGGATGATGGAGGTCGGATATGAGGTTGACATGGCCTCGGATGATGGTCGGTTGAAGAACAGCCGATGGAGACCCGGGGTTATCCTATAAAAAGGAGAATTTCAAGATTTTGAGTGCGTAAATATGGAAGGGTGAGAGAAGGGTTTTACATAAACCCCACGATGTGACATGAAACAGTGTAATGATAGCATTGTACTGCAAACTCCTAAACGTCACGAAAAGTGACGCTTAGGAGTCGGGCAGGAGGAGGCAAGTTGTTGAGTAAGAAAAAACCAATGTATAGGGTTTCTTGAGAATGGGCTTATAAATTGGATTGATGTATAGTCCAATGAGCCTGATAATGGTAGTAGGGTCTTAAATAAAGTCGGACGAAGAAGGATGAGATGGCCGATAAGGAGGTCGGACAAGATGAAATCGGGCAAAGGAGGATGAGACGGCTGATACGGAGGTCGGACAAAATGAAGTCGGGCGAAGAAGGATGAGACGGCCGATAAGGAGGTCGGACAAGATAAGGTCGGGCGAAGAAAGATGAGACGGTCGATACGGGGGTCAGACAAGAGGAAAGTGGGCTTCTAGGGGCCCATTTGAAAGAAAGGTCTGTTAATTGGTCGCTTAATTAAGAGACCTGTTAATCAACTGATCGATTGGCCGGTCAGTAGTTTAGTCGCTTGAAAGGGTGGTTAGTTGGTCGCTTGATTGGGCGACCGATGAATCGTTTGGACGAAAGGTTGTTCAGCCGATTGAAGGGACTGGATGGTGGTCGCTTGATTGGGCGATCGATGAATCGTCTGGACGATTGGTTGTTCAGCTATTTGAAGGGACTGAATGGTGGTCGCTCGAATGGGTAACTGATTAGCCATTTGGTCTAGCGACCAGTTAGTATCTGGATTGGTCGGTTGGTCAATCGTTGGGTTATGCTCGGTAGGTTCAGTCGGTGGATGGTCCAGACGATTTCTCAATTGGATGGTGATTTATGATCCGTTTGAAAAGGCGACTAGGAGGAGATGTGGGCCCGTCGTTAGGCCTATCAGTTGATTAAGGGGTTCTCAAAGGAGTCGGTTGGCCTGCGGTCCGTCTAAGGAGCCAGGGATTATTGTGGGCGGTTTGAGTAGTCGGATGGGCCGGCCGCCTATTTAAGGAGGTAAGGTGTTCAGAGGCAGTCGGTCGAGCCAGTTAAGTCCTGTAATCGGCAGGGACAGTTAGCAAGAAGGTTAATACACGTGTCAATGGAGGAGGAATTGGTGGGCGGTTGATAGTGGTTGCTATAACCGACCAAACGACGGTTCAAAACGTTTTTTTAGAAAATATTTAAGGATTTGGGTTGGCAAATGGCAAAGGATCTTCAATCATCTTCAATCGACATCAAATTCAATGAATTTCTTTTGGGGATCACCATTTTACTTTTATAGTCTGTAGAATTTATTTTTCCTATTTTATTTATGTATTGTACGGTGTCTAGAGATTCTTAAATCTCAGGCATTTTAATTTATCAAATTCGAAGATAATCTCTATTTTCGGATTTTACTTTTTATTATTGAAAATTGGCATCACCAATATTATAATATATATACAATATATATAAATAGTGGTTAGCGGTAGAAATAATTAATATTTCTATTGACTAATCCTATAATAATATTACAACACGTTATCAGCATGATTGTGTATTTTAATTTCCACAAGGTAATATTTCATATTTTATCTGTTTATTATGTCTAACCTTGCCAAATAGGAATTTCTCCCTTTCCTCGTTTCAGGCCAAAATTATATGGCACGGGTTCGTGACGTGGAAATGCATTTGGCGTCAATGGGCTTGGAAAATACCATTGCCTGGGATAAAAACTCCCCGAGCCAAGATCGTGCGAAGGCCATAACCTTTTTCTGCCATCACATCGATGAGGCACTGAATATGCAGTATGTCATGCTAGAATCCCCACTTGAATTGTGGGAGAGAATGAAAGAAAGATATGATCATTTGAGGCTGACATTGTTGTCAAGGGCACGAAGCGAATGGCAAAGTCTACGGCTTCAGGACTTTAAAACAGTCCAAGAATGTAATTCTGCAATGTTTAAAATAATATCACAGCTACGCTACTGTGGCGAAAATATATCTGAATCTGATATGATGGAGAAAACTTTCTCCACTTTTCATGCCTCTAACATGGTTTTACAGCAGCAGTATCGCGAAAGAGGCTTCCAGAAATATTCTGAGCTGATCATCTGTCTTTTGCTGGCCGAACAAAATAACAAATTGCTATTGAAAAATCACGAATCCCGGCCGACATGTGCAAATCCATTTCCAGAGGCAAATGCAATACAACCGGCAAATCCGGTGCGTGGCCGTGGGCAGGTTAAAAATCAAAGAATTGATCGCGATCGAAATCAGAATCGCGGACGGGGCCTGACAAATGCATACAGTCACGATAATTATCAAAATAGGCCCCGATATGTGCCAAATCGACGTTATAATGACAGAAGACCGTACAGACCTCAACAGACGTTCAACACCGAGAGAAACATAAACAATGACGAGGAATGCACCCGGTGTGGAATCAAAGGCCATTGGGCCCATGTTTGTCGCACAGCCAGTCACTTGGCTGAACTGTATTGGGCCTCAAAAGAAAGGCAGGGAAGAGTTGCTGCCGAAACAAACCACGCTGCCCACGATGACAGATTTGACGATGTGATGAATGAAAATATCACGCACATGGATGCCGATGATCTACTTGATATAGCTGATGATGTTAAATGATAAAATGTTGTTGTATCTCTTTTTTTATTTTGATGTTTTCTGCCCCCCTTTTTGTATTACCCTCTATAATATAAGTCTATTTTGATTATGTTACTAATACATGTCTTTTATTATTTTTACCTTCTTGCAAAGATATGGATGCCAAATATTTTGGAGCCGATGACATCATCTGCCTTATCGATAGTGCTACGACTCATAACATTTTGAAAAACAAATGTTATTTCTCCCACCTGAATATAGGAAAGACCACTATTGTTACTATCAGTGGTGCATCGAAAATGATTGAAGGCTCAGGAAAAGCTATTGTATATCTCCCAAAAGGGACAAAAATGGCAATTGAAAATGCCTTGTTCTCGAGCAAAGCTTGAAGGAATTTGCTGAGCTTCAATGATATTTGGAAAAATGAGTATCACATTGAAATATTGAATGAGGTAGAAAATGAGTATCTCTTGGTAACTCATATTGTAAATGGCAAAAGAATTGTGAAAGAAAAATTGCCATCATTTTCTTTCGGCTTATATTATTCAAAAATCAGTGCCATTAAAACATATCACCTAGTAGACCAAATGGCTACTAGCGAATTTAAAAAACTTGGCATGATCGACTTGGGCATCCTGGCAATGTAATGCTAAGGCGAATTGTTGAAAATTCAAATGGCCACTCATTGAAAAAGAAAAATATTTTGAGTCCGAATGAATTTGCTTGTGCTGCCTGTTCCCAAGGGAAATTAATAATCAGGCCATCTCCAACAAAGATTGGATTTGAATCCCCAACTTTTCTGAAAAGAATTCAGGGTGATATTTGTGGACCAATAGATCCACCGTGTGGACCCTTCAAGTACTTTATGGTACTAATCGATGCGTCAACGCGATGGTCACACGTATGTCTGTTATCTACTCGCAATCTAGTTTTTTCTAGACTACTTGCAAAAATAATTAAACTGCGAGCACAATTTTCAGATCACCCGATAAAGAAAATACGTCTAGATAATGCTTGAGAGTATTCATCATATACATTTGATGATTACTGCATGTCAATTGGGATTACTGTGGAACATCTTGTTCCCCATGTACATACACAAAATGGCCTCGCTGTATCCCTTATCAAAAGATTGCAATTAATTGCTAGACCATTCTTAATGAGGTCGAAACTTCCCGTATCAGCTTGGGGACAGCTATATTGCATGCAACAGCCCTCGTGAAAATAAGGCCGACCAGTTATCACTGTTATTCCCCTACTCAATTGGTTTCTGGAAAAATACCAAATATATCTCACCTGTGAATATTTGGGTGTGCTGTTTATGTTCCAATTGCGCCACCTCAACCCACGAAAATGGGACCTCAAAGAAGGTTGGGTATATATGTCGGGTATGAATCACCCTCGATCGCAAAATATCTTGAACCAACAATGGGTGATTTATTTACTGCGAGGTTCGCAGACTGTCATTTTGACGAATCACATTTCCCGACATTAGGGGGAGACAGTAATCAACTGAAAAAAGAAATTCTGTGGACAATACCACTTGAATTTGATCCTCGTACGAAACATAGTGAACTTGAAGTTCAAAGAATTGTACATTTGCATAAAATTGCAAACCAATTGCTTGATGCTTTCAATGATGCTGCCAGAGTTAAAAAATCATATATTACAACATAAAATGCACCAGCTAAAATAAATATCCCAGAAGGGAAGGTGCCGAGTGCTAATGAGCATACTGCCTGCGTAAAATGTGGCAGGCCGTTGGGTTCCAAGGATAAGAATCCATGAAAGAAGAAAATTGTAAATACTGGTGAAGAGATCAACAATGATTAGATACCTGAAAAGGTCAGTACAACCCCTGAAGAGGTTGATACTAAAAATTCTGATGAAAGTGACGATGACGTTATTGAAACTTCCGTTAACTATACCACCAGTGGAAAATATTGGACAGAAAGAAAAAAAATATTGGTAATGCATTTGCATATTCTGTAGCACTCGATATAATAAAAGATGACGAGGATTATGAACCAAAATCAGTTGATGAATGTCGGCAAAGAGATGATTGGGCAAAGTGGAAAGACACAATTAAGTCTGAATTGGACTAATTGAATAAACGGCAAGTATTCGGCCCTATAGTCCAAACACCTGAAAATGTGAAACCTGTTGGTTACAGAGGGGTGTTTGTGAGAAAAAAAATGAAAATAATGATATCACAAGATACAAAGCAAGGCTTGTAGCCCAGGGTTTTTCCAAGAGACCGGGTATTGATTTTGAGGAAATATACTCGCCGGTCATAGATGGAATAACACTTAGGTATCTGGTGAGCCTATCAGTATATAATAATCTTGATATGTGATTAATGGATGTGGTTACTGCCTATCTTTACGGCTCCTTAGACAATGACGTCTACCTAAAAATCCCAGAAGGGATTAACATACTTGAATCATTCACATCAAAGCCAAACGAATCATATTCCATCAAATTGCAGAAATCCTTGTATGGGCTTAAGCAATCGGGCCGAATGTACAGCTTAACAAAGGTTACATAAATGACCATATCTGTCCATGCGTTTTTATAAAGAAAAATGAGTCTGAATTTGTAATCATCGCTGTATATGTCGATGATCTCAATTTAATTGGAATTCCTAATGAAATCCAGAAAGCTGTTGAATATCTGAAAAAGGAGTTTGAGATCAAAGATTTTGGAAAAACTAAATTTTGCCTTGGTTTGCAAATTGAGCATTTGGAAAGTGGAACATTTATCCAGCAATCAAATTATACCAAAAGGGTACTAAAACAGTTCCTGATGGATAAATCACACCCACTAAGTACCCCAATGATCGCCAGGGCACTCGATCCAATAAAGGATCCATTTAGACTAAAAGAGGAAAATGAAGAAACACTTGGCCCAAAAGTGTCATATATGAGTGCTATAGGCGCATTGATGTATCTTGCTAACAGCACCCGACCTGATATATCATTTGCTGTAAATTTATTGGCAAGATTTAGTTCATCGCTTACTCGACGACATTGGAACGGGATTAAGCACATTTTTTGCTATCTCCAAGGAACAATTGATCTCGGGTTATTTTACTCGAAAGATTTTCGACATGAATTGATTGGTTTTGCCGATGCAGGATATTTATCAGATCCCCATAAAACCAAGTCACAAACTGGCTATACATTTACTTGTGGCGAAACAATGATCTATTGGAGATCGATGAAACAAACTTTAACTGCCACTTCTTCAAATCATGTTGAAATATTGGCAATACATAAAGCTAGTCGAGAATGTGTTTGGTTGAGGTCTATGACTCAACATATTCTGAAAAATTGCGGGTTAAATACCTGACGATAAAATTCCCCCAACTACATTGTATGAAGATAATACAGCTTGTATAGCGCAATTAAAAGGAGGTTACATTAAAGGATATAGAACGAAACATATTTCACCAAAATTCTTTTTCACTCATGATCTTCAGCAGAAGAGTGAAATTGATGTGCATCAAATTCGATCCGATAATAATTTGGCGGATATATTAACCAAGGCATTGCCGACGACAGCATTTGAAAAACTGGTGAAGAAAATTGGGATGCATCGGTTAAGGGATCTCAAATAATGCTCAGATCAGGGGGAGCGAATTGATACAAGAATGTTGTACTCTTTTTCCTTCATTAGGATTTTTTCCCACAAGATCTTTTCCTAGTAAGGTTTTAACGAGACACATTCTTTGTATAAAAATATCCAAGGAAGAGTATTATACACGTAGTTTATTCGTGTACTTAACGTGGATGTATCGTCGACACTATGTGCTTCGTTTACGGCCATCAATGTATATATGTTTGCCTATAAATACTAGGAAATGAGATCAATGATATTTGCCCGACAATAAAAAATCCTACCTATTCTCTCTCTTCTGCACTTACACATTGATTTCATTATTATGCTTACATTTAATATTTAATACACATATATTATTACATACACACAACATACATACATATGCACATCCATATACATATATATTTCATATTATATTATATTATATATACAATATATATAAATAGTGATTAGCGGTAGAAATAATTAATATTTTTATTGGCTAATCATATAATAATATTACAACAACACATTATTATTTGTAAAAATATAATGATAAATATTTTTTTTATTTTTATACAATATTATACTTCATTCGTCATATATCTATCTATCCGTTTATTTTTTACACGGAGTTTTAAAAATATTAGTATTATATTGATATGTAATATAAATAAAGGTAAAAAAAACTAAACTAACCTTATTAGTATTGTATTATATAAAGGTAGTGACATTTATGTAATATATTATAAAGTGGAAGGGTATTTATAATGTTAGGTAGATAGTACAATTATTAAAAAAATAAATATTTTATTATAGAACGGACCAAAATAAAAAAAATAGATAGTTTGTTAAATGAGGGAGAATATTTTATTAAATATATATATTAAAATATGTATAGTTATTAACGATATTTTCCCCCAAATTATTTTCGAGTGTCAAGATTTTTTTATAAGTATTATAAGAAATAATATATATATTACACAATATATAATATATATTATATTCACTTCAAAAAATTAATAATTCCACACAAAATATTATTTTTATATTACAAATACGATTCTCTATACCTAATTTAAAAATACATTAATCTAAACATATAAAATAAACACACCATAAATGTTAATTTTTTACTAAAAATAAAAAAAATAAAAGAAAAGTTGATATAGTTATTTTTGTTGGTATTTTACATTATATACTCTAATATATATTTTGAAGAATAATTTTTATAATTATTAAATAGTTATTATCATTTTAAAAAAATAGTAAATATAGATATTATTAAAATGATAAGTATATACAATTATAATTGATAAATATATTCAAATGCTTTATTTGTTTCAATCATATGTAATTTTTCTTTTTCATCCATTTTACCCTAATATGTATCTTTCATATTTTTATAATAGTGGTTTGAC